ATAAAATGTTCCAAATTTGAACCAATCCCCTTGAACACCTCTATGTCCGATTTTGTTGAAGAGTCCTACCCTTTGAAATTCCTTGAAGATCATATTTCCTGATTTTTATCGAGAGTCTTCTTAAGTGACTTTGGTCATTTAGGATGTAATTAACTATAGGGGTTTGCCCTTATAGGAAGCATGTCTGAACCCAGCTTAATATAAACCCTATTTAATCCTTTATATCAAATAAGGGAACTTGTCCGCAAATACAAAGGTTTCGCAAACCAAACGAACGTCATACTTTCCTTAGTTTATTTGATCGAGCCTCATCCTCAATTCTTGTGTTTATCCTTCGGGATAGATACAGGATTTGAGCTACAGTGCTCTTTCATTTTAAACTACTAAAAATATGGGGTCAGTTTGATTTCATACCTCAACGTCCTTCTGAAGCGGGCGACGGGATTTCGATTCCAGTGACCGACAGCTTCTTACGGGCAACCCCGCAAACAAACCATCCCCAAAAATAATGCCGTCAGGTATCCATGACATTGAGCACAATTGATTGATCATTTTGGTGTAGATTATTTTCATGAGGAGTTTAGAAAAGATTAGAAAAGATTTGGAGTGATTTTGAATTGGTTTGGTGGTTCAATTTGGAGGATTTTGGGCATTTGGTCAATTTGGGGGTGTTGGGTTAGACTTGGGTTTAGGTTAGACTAAGCTTGCGTTAGGTCCAAATTAATGGTTTAAAATGTTCTAGAAGAATGTCATAAGGAGTTTTCAACATAAATTGAGTGTCAATTTTGGGGTTAGGGCATTCAATTTGGTGGAATTTGGAGACATAGCCAATTTGGGGCAAATTTGAGGATTTTGAATGTGAATTGAAATTGAAGCTTGAACAGGGCAAATTGAAAGTCCAATTTGATGTGTAGGACTGTTATGAAGAATTTAGGATTCAAATTGGGGCAATTGAGTGGATCATATGGTTCAATTATGTGAGATTAAGTCATTGGGTCAAAATTGAGGTTTAATTTGGATCAAAATTAAGCTCAAAGAATGGGTCAATTAGGCTTGGATTTGGCTTGAATTGATCATATAAAATATGAATTTGAGTTTAGAATTGAAAATGGGGAGGATTGTGGCCAAATTGATGGGTATGTGAGGTGAATTGGGAGAAATTGGGTCTTTAAGGACAATTCGAGGCTTTTGGTCAAAGTTAGTCAAATTGATCAAATTGGGTTAATTAAAGGGTCCAAATTGGTTTTGGGGACATTTGAAATGATTTTGATGGTTTTGGGAAAGTTTGGGCTACCAAGGGTATTTTTGTAATTTTGGCAAATTTGAGGGGATTTTTGTAATTTTGGAATTTTTGGGTTGTTTTGGGCAATTTGGGTAGTTTCAAATGGTTTGAGATGATTTTTTAAGAAGTTTGGACATTTTGGATGAATTTGGAAACTTTGGTCAAATTTAGAGTTTCAAGGATATTTAGGTAATTTGGGTGGATTTGAGGGCAAAAGGCAAAGTTGGATATTTTGGTAGAATTGGGGTGCCAACCACCTTATATGAGCTATGGACTAATGAAATCCCCATTTGGGTCCTCTATGTACTGGCCTTAGCTAAACCCTAGCATAGGGATAGTGGGTTTAAGAGACCATCTACATGAGTTTCCCAAAAGATCAAGAGATCAAAGTTAACAAATCTGGGTTTTAGGGTTGTGAGTGAAAGTGGCTGCAAGTGAGTGCAAGTGAGTGAACTAACTCCTGACCAGCACCCAGGGTCAACCTTGAGGCCAAGCAGTCCTATGAGAACTCCCCTTGAGCTTCCTCTATAGTGGCCTCACCTACTAAATGCTAGAGATTAAGACTAGTATATGAAACTTCAAGTTGAGCACAGAAGAGTTTAGAGTTTCTAAAGGTGGGAGTTCATTTTCTAGTTTTCTAGGAATAGTCAACAGGAAAATCCTATGCCCTAGACTTAGGCTATTAAAGAGATAAAACTAAACCTCAACCAAAAGTGAGGTCAACAATGTATTAGCCTTTGGGTTTTTTTTTTTAAATATATGATAAATTATTTGACCATTTATAAATTAGCATTATTTTAATTTTATTTGTCAACTTCTTTTTAAAAATTTAAATAAATAATATCTTAATTTGTTTTTTATGTTTAAAATTTATAAACATAAAAACTGATTAATTATGATAAATATGGTTAAACTTTGAGGAAGTAATCTCAAAAAATAAAAGGGCAAAACCCCTTTCACAAAATTTAATTTATTAAATCTAAAATTTAGTTTTTTTTAGCTATATGTTTATGTCATTAAAATATTCTTAATGTAAGTATTTAAATTCAGATTTTCTATATATAAATGCTTAAGAATTGTATGGACTACAAATTTTGTTTTTTGGTTTTTATTTTATTTTTTTAGGTCACCAATCCATAAGCCAGACTTCCCTCCGGTGGTTCTTCGCGGGTCTCAATCGCATTCGTAGCGGCGATGTTGGGTAGCAGGCTAGGAGCCCTCTTGCGCAGGGGAAAGACCCAAATAAACATTGCATCGCAGTTTAGGAGTTGTGCTAGGGCTTCGCCTGAATCAGCGTTTTTTTCACCTTCGAGCTTAGCTTCCTCTAGGTCCTCCGGGGCTTGTCTGATGTCAAGATATTTCTCTGTTTACGGGTTCAGAACCCTGAAGCAGGTTCTATTCTTGCGCTATTTGGCACAAGATATGCCTTTTTAATATATAATTTCTAGATGTTTGCAGTTTCCAGTTTCTTCTGCATGCAATTGAGATTCATACATATTGCAATGTGCGTTTTTTTTTCGTCGACTCAGGAATTAGCAGTTGCTTTATTTTATAGTGCTGCTCTTTTCTATTAATTAGCCCAAGGTTAGATTTTTCATGGATAACATGTAATGCTTATTGATCCTTGTAATGAGACTTCATTTAGTGATTTTGATTTTTCCATATATATTTATTTATCACTTTTTCTGGTTCAATTAGGGAGTTTGCGGTTATGGAAATAAAATAAAATTATTATTATTTTTTCCTTGTTTATTGATTTGTGCGACCAGAGATCTGTATTTTTATATAGTGTTTATTCTTAGATGTCAATTATAGTGCTTATGATCATTTGGTTTCGATTACTAGATGGCAATAGGAAGTTGAATGATGGTATTCAAAGTGTTGCTATTGGAAGAGTAATGTGCAGCACCCAAATAGATCCACGCTCACTCAAATCAACATACTATAAAAATTAGTGCAAGGATCACTTTCAGTTCTTTGTTTAGATGTAAGATTCATGATTCAGTTTTAAGGTTTTTATGTCAAATATAAGATATTTTACTCGGCTTTAAGCTCTTTGATCTATATTAAAAAAAGGCAGGACTTACATACATTCCATTGATTTCCTATGTATTCACATTTTTAATATACAATTATTAATTTTTACTTATAACTCTCTAGAACCTAAATTACATTAAAAATAATACTGAAATTAACTTATTTGAAGCGAAAAAACAGGTTTCTTTGCTTATCTTTTGATGTTATTTAGAGATTATTGTATAAGGTGTTGGATACATAAATACATAGGGATTGAATGGCATGTATGTAAATCTCTTTATAAAGGTACAAGATTTATTGTAGAAAATTTACTTTGGAAGAAGATTTTATTACATTTAAGGCTTATACAAAAATAAATTATTTTACCAAATATAAAGCTTTTGACCCAAGCATATGATTTATCAAATGAAATATCTTATGCTCAGATATGAGTTATTTTACTTTTATATAGGTTCTTTAACCTAAATATGGGTATCACTAGTTTGACACTACTTTTATAAAGTTTACTTCCAAGCTTGATTTGTCCACTTCAGCTGTCATACATGCAGCTGATGTAGCTCAATTTTCACTTTGAGTTTATTTTGGTAGTATAAAATTATTCTACTCAGAATCTATTAGTTCTTCTGATAAAAACTGTTTTAATAATATTATTTTGTAATAAACTAATTTCAGAGCTGGTTGCATTCATCTTCAAAGAGAATGTGTACTTCTACTGTAGCCATGAGTTCTATTAAGACAGAAGCAACATGTTTGGGATTGAAACTGCTTGTTACTGATGCACCTCATGCTCAGAAAAGAGTTGGAGTGTGGCTGTTTGGTTGTTCTGCTTGGGTCTTTAGTCTAGTGATACTTGGTGGCATTACCCGTCTTACTCGGTCTGGTCTATCTATGACTGATTGGAAATTTACTGGCACACTTCCTCCATTTTCAGACAATGAATGGTTGCTTGAGTTTATAAAGTATCAACAATCCCCTGAATACAAAAGGTACGATAATTTTTCGTGCTAGTCCGTTCTTCCTAGAATATGGCATTAACGGTTTGTTTATGATATTTTTGAGAATATTCCTGAATAGAATATATGTCCATTTGTTTTAATGTGCCAATGATTGAATAATTTTGAATCCTCATCTGTGTTGCATACCCTCATTGTACATGTGACATCAGAAATTCACATGTTGACACACACGCTCGCTCGCACACACACGCACATGCGCGCACACACACAGGCAAGCGGAAAACACACACACACACATACATATTTACAGGGCAAGCGGAAAACATAGCTCTTATTATTTTCTTCCAATAATTATACATTGCTGTTCAATTATTTAATTTTAGTGAGTCGGACTCCTAACTTTATTTTTGATCAGTTGAATAAACATGGTTCTAGGTTATGCTAATTTATTGGCTTTGCAAACTACAACTCAGAAGCTTTTAATCAAAGAATTGTTGAGATTTTTACATTATTAACTTTGAGATATTGGAACGGCTGGAAATTTTTTTCAGTTAAGGGGCTGTTACATACATACCACACAATTCTTATGAATTTACATACCTAACACCAAAACTTTGATTTTTATATTTATAACACTCTAATCTTTTGTATCACATCAAAACTACTACTATCACTATCTTTAAAAAAAGGAAACTACACTTTTTCATGCATATGTAAAGTGATATTAATGTAAATATTAAAGTTTACTTGCTATATATTTAAATACATATGAATTATGTGGCATGGCTGTAAATTTTCCTTTATTTAATCAAATAGATAATGGAATGAGATTCAGAGCCTTTAAGGTGAGCCTTTTTGTTTGGTATTTGTTCATGCTATCATCTTTTGCATCACCAATTTAATCTTTGAGAGTTATTTCTGGTTCATCCAATATATGTGCCATCCATTAGTATTTTTCTTTTTTCTGGTCATTCCGAAAGCTTTCTATTTCAGGTAATGTGTTAATAATACCAAGTGAACTCTGGCATGGTTTAGGGTGAATAAAGGAATGAGTCTTCAAGAGTTCAAATATATTTATTGGATGGAATATGCTCATCGAATGTGGGGAAGGGCATTGGGCGTTATATTTGTAGCCCCTTTTTCCTTTTTCCTCGTGAAAGGTTACATCACTCGCCAACTTGGAATTAGACTCTCAGCCCTATTTGCACTTGGTGCTGGGCAAGGATTGATTGGCTGGTGGATGGTGAAGAGTGGTCTAGAGGTATAAACGTAATTTTTTATATTTCTGGGTAAAAGCCCTTACGCAACACCTGATATATTTCCTAATATTCTTCTTTCTTTTTATTAGGAACCAGCTTCTGAATATGTTCAACCAAGAGTTAGCCCTTATCGCCTAGCAATTCATCTTACATCTGCATTTGTTATATACAGTGGTCTTTTGTGGACTGCTCTTTCAGTTGTTATGCCTGAACCTCCAGCTGAATCATTAAGTTGGGTGAATGGTGCTGCCAAGATTCGAAAATTGGCACTTCCAATCAGTGTCCTTGTGGGGATTACAGCAGTGTCAGGAGCTTTTGTTGCTGGAAATGACGCGGTATAATTGGAATTGTTTTTTTATCATTGTGGCTGGAAGCATGATTTATTGACAATTTACGGATTTCACTTCTTGTTACCAGGGCCATGCTTACAATACTTTCCCTAAAATGGGTGACTCGTGGATTCCTGATGATATTTTTAGCATGAAGCCATTCTTCCGTAACTTTTTTGAGAATACATCCACTGTTCAGGTATAATTTCAATGATGTACACATATATTGCTTCTCAATTTGGAAGGATCAAATCTCACTTGATTTGTATAGTGTATTTTTCAGACTTTGTTTTTTGTTTTATTGCTGAACGGCTGAGCCATATTTGTGGCTTGTTTTTTTGAACCAAAAGAAGACATTCATTTCAAAATTATATCAGTTCTACTGGAGTTTCTAATAGACCAAAAAATGTTAATTATTGGTTTTGTTTAATGACATGATTTGCATTTCTTCTTTCACCCTTTTTGGCTGCAAGTATTGTATGATCTGTTATCTTCTTTAATTATACTTTTTCCTATATTTGCACGTTCTCAATTTTTTTTTTTGACTACCAACCTAGTGTAAATAGAATGGGATTCCAGCTTTGTTTCCATTAATTTGGTGGACTAATATGAGATTTTTGCTCTAGCACCTTCTTGATTCATTGTTTTCACGGGGTGTGGTGACAGTAGCTAGTAACATTTTTGGTTTTAACAGTTTGACCATCGCATCCTGGCAACTGCAACTTTGGCTTCAATAGTAAGTTTTTGGTGGACTGCCAGAAAAATAGACTTACATCCAGCAATACAATCTTTAATTGGTAGCACAGTGGGGATGGTGGCTTTACAGGTAACTTTCTAATCCATGAAAATTTTTTATTCTATTTGGTACGTTGGTTTATTTCAGTAACTGTCTTGAATAGATGAAAATCAACTCTCGAGTATTGTAATGTCCTTACTAAACTCGTTGTTCTGTAACTGTCTGTACGTATTGATTTAGCAATCTGTATAAGATGCTTATAAAATTTCTGCATCATTTTTCTCATGGAAGTCAAGTGAACACCTATTAATTTTTATTTAACACATTTTAAAGATGATTAATGCATATAAGATTCTTTTATAATCTATTCTCCAGTTTTAATGTCAGGGAAGTTCACTTGAATGGCTTCTATTATCTAGCACATGCTCGATGAAAAATTTACAACGTTTGGGCTTTTATTTTAATCTAGTAGAAATCCTAACTGCTTTCAGTTTTTCATGGAATTTGTGCTTGGTTGGACATTTAGTATGCCTTTTGTCTTGAATAACTACGGCTTTTAATTTATGGGTGATGAAGTTTTGACATGACAAGTCCAAGTTTCTTCAGGATTGTTACGCAATGGACATTTTGTATCTATGGTTTTATTATTAGTGTAGCAAATAAAAAAGTAAGGAAAGCTCTAAATATTTTTTATTGTTTTTATCTTATACAAGAGAGGATGTACATATACATCTTCAAGGAGCATTACAAAATAGGAGTAAATTAAGGAAAAATAATAAGTGGTTGACAATCCTATAAGGAAGCACATGGATTACAATTTGAGGGCTATAGAAAATTTGATCCAACAGTCCAAGATCTTGATTTGTGTATCTTAACTTCTTTGTCATGATTGAAGAGTGAATAGCCTCACCACAAAATAAATAAAAAGAAAAATTCAATTCTCTCTCTCAAATTGGATGGTATAGATCTATCACGTCAAAATGGCTTACTATGTTTTTGAATATGGCGATACAAAGTCCTTTGGTTAACATGCCTGTCATTTGATTTTCTATAGGCACATATGGGGTAAAAATCGGTCCAATCTTTTAAATTTTCTCTTTTGAAGCGTCTATCAACTTCAACATGCTTGATATGATCATATTATATTTGGTTGTATACAATGTTGATGGTCCATTTATTTTTCTAATATATTTTATAAACTACTCTCACTCGATTTTTAAATCATTTAATATGATTTTGATTTATAGAAGCTTACAGATCTCTTGGGTAATGACTCTAAACACGACTTCAACACTTGATCTTGAAATGACAGCTAGTTTCTTGCTTTTCTAAGTTATGCGATTTCCTTCCAGAAATGTATAATATCGTGAAGTGGATATTCTATCTACTAGTGATTCAACATAGTTTGTTTCTATGTATCCTTCAATTTATGGGATATTATGCCTTGTATTTATAATTCCTTTCCATGGGCTTAAATTAAAATTTTTTGGAGCTTTATTGGCGACTTGAATGTATGATTTTTTGGGCATATGCTTGAATTGACTGAGTAGACTTACTGCAAATTCACTATCGGGACGGATGTGTTATACGCATATTAGTTTTCGTTTTAACTTTTGATATTGTCATATATTTACTTATGTTCCTTCTTTGTCAAAGTCCAACTTTTGTCATAGGTTGATTGAAGTTTCACAGGACTCACACTCTTTTATCTTGTTTTCTTTCAGTAGATCTATAACATATCTTTGTTGGGAAAGAAATATTATTTATTTAGATTGAGCCATTTTTATGTTCAAGAAAGATTTGGGTATTTTTAGGTCTTTGATTTTAAATTCTTTAGCAAGTCTTTTTCTTGTTAGCTTCTTTCTCTTGACTGTCATCCTTCAGTTATTATTTTATCAATACATACAATGAAAAATTGAAGAATGAGATTTTAGCATTAGGAGAGTGCTTTGTGAAAAGTATTTGGTCTCATTGGTTTTATTTGTGTTTAGCTCCCACCATAATCTTCTTAAATATATCAAACCAAGCTTTTGGTTATACTTTTAGTCCGGATGAGGCCTTCTTTAATTTCATACTTAATTCTTTTTGAAGGAGCTATCAAGTATTGATGGTGTGTCCGTATAAACTTTTTATTTGATGCTCGCATCTAAGAAAGCAGCTTTTTCACTGTATTGCTATATATGCCACCTATAATTTGATGCTAAAGATTTTAGAATGTGAATATTATTCATTTTTATAAGAAGAGCTGATAGTCAATTTTATTTGATTGAGATATCTTTTGACTAATAATCATGCTTCGTACCTTTTAAGGCTTTTTTTTGGTTCTAAAGATTCAGTTATATCCCATCGTCTTATTTGCTTCTGGTAAGTCAACAACTTTTCATGATTAAAATTAATAATCAATGTTGAGTACTTAAATTTTAGGAATAAAAATGAGGTTAAAAATTAGAAGCCATTCAATTGAACTTCCCAATAAATTTGCACTTTAAACTCATTTTTATTCTTTAATTTACAACTCTTTATCTTATAATCTAGAATTAATAATCGATGTTGAGTACTTAAATCCTTACTTGGAATGTCCTTACAATCTTTAAATTTTCGATCATCTCTTTTTCTCGTAAGAAAATAATCAGTTGATGTTTTATTAGATCCATTTTTATATGCAATAATATGTTTCATCTCTTTTATAGAATAACTTATTAGCAATAAAAAAATCATACGCTAAAACAAAATCTAATATGACTACCTTTTTCATTAATCACTATAAAATCGTAGCCACTATGAATATTTCTAAAATCTTCTACAACTCTACCTACATGTTCATTTAAATCTCCTCCAATATAAATTCTTTCTTCAAGAGGTGTAATTTGTACCAAGTCTTCTTGGTAATTTCAGAAATTTTCTTGAGAATATATATTTAAACCTACTTGAGGAGCATAAACACTTATAATATTAAAAATCTTAGTACCAATAATAATCTTAAGGGCTATAATTTAATAATCTTAATTGCTATAATTCTATCTTCAATTCTTTTAATTTTACAACATTATGTTTCAAAATCTTATCTATAATTACAACTACATCATTTCTGGTGCGACTATTACCTGAGTGCCAAAGTTTAAAATCTAAGTTATCAATCTCCTTAGCCTTTTCTCCAACCCATTTAGTTTCTTGAATACCTAAGATATTTATCTTTCTATGAATCATAATATCAACTAATTCCGTTAATTTACCTGTGACAGTATCTATATTCTAAGATCCCATCCTAATATTAGTTTCATGGATTGACTTCTTTACCCTCATCCGTTCGTAATGTAAGAACTCGTGCTTATTTGACACTACAGTCGGATAGCGGTATAGTGACCCTACCACACTTTTCACTGTATTTAGGCCATACAACGCGTCGCTTCCTGAGGATGCCCTAACATTTACACAATAATCAAAAAATTCATGTTATGATTTTTCAATAATTTTTAAACTATCTGTCGACTACCTAACACAACTCTCCACTTTTCACATTCATTGCCTGGGACTTGGTAATGGTAGTGTTAGGTAAATATTATTTTGCAGCTGTGGTCTTAGGTAAATTTTTGAATAGATAAAATATTAATTGTGAGGTGTTGGAGGTGTAATACATTTTTGATGGTTATGTTGGGAGAAATTAAAATGTTTTCTTATGCTCAACAGTTATTAAAGATTCATCCTCAACTTTTATCTTATTATTAGGATAGGATTTGTAAGTTTGAAATATACTGTTAAGAGGAAGAATTATTAGAGACACTAAGAACATAAAAATTAAAAATTATATCATTATGAAAAATAGAGCAAGCTACTAATGATTTTTGTAAGGAATTGAGAAAAAAAATTTAATTTGTTGATTTCTTTTGATTAAGCCCATCTGACTCCACTAGGCAGACTTGTTTTCAGCATGCCTTTGGTGTGCTCTTTCTTTTTTGCAGTAGTTGGCTCAGATAGCCTTTAAAATAAAGATTTCATCATTCTTTTGGAGATGGTTTTGCGATAAAAGTCCTTTGTCTTGGGATTTAAAAATTTTTATTGTAGATATCTTAGGGATTGGACCGTTGATCATCACAATCCTTCTTCCATCTTATGCTCATACAAGAAAAAATACTTTATTTAGAGAAGGATATTTTTTTTGCTTAAGGTTTCAAAATGAATTTGGTCAAATTCATTATAAGGATCACTGTATCCTCATAGCAAGACATCTTGAGATTTTGCTTTTGGTTCAAACCAGTAAAACTTCATGACCTTAAAGTATTCAATGACAAGATTATTGCTTTGTTTGGTAGTGACGAGCTTTGTCTTGATTACATATATGAGTGCATATGTCTCATTTTTTAGTATGGTTGTTTAACTCCATCCCAAACTGTTTTTGAGGCGGAGAGAAACATAAAATGTCCGCTTACATAGTGTTCCACAACTATGTCATGATTGTAAAATCATTTTCTTCCCAAAAAAAGAACATTGGGTTCTTGGGCTCCGGATGTAGATTCACAAGGTGTTGGTTCTTCTCATTTTTCTTTAGAAATGTCTGTAACGATTTAGGATAATTTGAAATAATTCTTTCCATTCAAACGTTAAGATGCTTGAAATATCTGGAGTTTCTGGAGTTTTTCTTTGATCTAATTTTCACTATTAATTATAATTGATTCATATGAAGGAAGGTCAAAGAACCCAGGCAACAAGAGAGATAAGGTTGAATGTGAAAACCCTAACTCTACTTAATAAGAATAAATGGTGAAAATAATGCCCTAGCTTGCTTTGATACTATATGGAAAATAATTAATGAAAAAAAACTGTCAAATAATCTTATCATTTTCTTAGTACAAGTGGAGATGTATATTTATACAACTTGAAGTATTACAAAATAAGAATAAATAGAAATAAGAATAAATAAAAAAAAGAAAGACAAATAATTATGATATAGTGATCTTATAAAAAAGCACACGGACTGCAATCTGATAGTTATAGAGAGAGATATCTAACGATACAAAACTTTGATTGTGTGCCTTAAGTTTTTTGTTATTCGGGGGTCATAGGGAAATAAATGTAACAGTATAATGCCTTGA